AAGGTAGGTAAAATCAGTAATTTTGGGGGTAAAAACAAGGCTAGATTTAGTTCGTTTAACACGCGCTCGGATGGGAGTCAAATTAACCCCTCAAAGGTTTTTCCAGAATGGTTGACGAACGGCGCAGCGTAGCTACGCCACATTTTGCATGGCTGTAGACAATTAAATAGCGGATCGCTTGTCACCAAAAATTTAGACGTACCTAGTAAGGTCACTGACCCATGACAGATCAAAGTCAGACCATGGTTTCAGCGAAGGTAATTTCTTAGAAATCCTTCAATCTTATCCAACAACGGAGTGTTAGACGAGGTCATACATATCGGAAATGCCTTCTTAGGCAACACAACAGTTGAATGAGAAAATTACATTGACCAAAGGTCAGATATGGAGGTCACAACAAGGTCAAAACCAACCTGTTTTGTTACTATAGGGCTTGCTGTATGGGATAGTTTCTGGTGCTCATTTCAAGTTCATTAGTAGCAGGAACTGCATCATATATCTTCCATGGACTTCTAAGGGGTTAGAATAGGTCATTGACCAAAATAACCATGGTCAGCATTTTGTTTTACATACTGCCTAGCGTAACCTTTGTCGCTTAGTCAAATGCAAAGCTCAAAGCAATCTTGCATGATTTTGGTCACCCTGACCTTCAAAAAGTTAAGCAAGGTCACTGACCTTGAATGGGAATGCGATGTTTTGCTCAGAAACTCTTATTTAGGTTCTGGGGGCACTTTGAAGACTAGCCTGAAACTTGACCTTGTTTAAACTTTTTTGACCCGAAGGTCATGACCCAGGAATCTGAAACTTTGACCTGAGTGGGTTCAAGTACAGGTCAACACACCCTATAAATTTAGTATTTCTAGCTTTTTTAGTTCCTGAGATATCAGAGGGTCAAAGTGACCCCCACCCGAGCAAAGGGTACCTAGGCGGCCACCCGGACGCGTGTTAACTTGGCTCAGCCACTATCAGCTGGCTTTGCAAACCTACTTTCTGCTGCGTGGGTTCAGTCTGTAGCAAACGTTCTATGGACATCCAAAGAACCTACAGAGTATATAAAGTGAGCCAAGGAATGGCGAATGTCAAGCCCACAATCTAGCCAGGAACAGCCGGGACGATCAGGAGCACAGACCTTTTATTTGAGGATTTAATTTTTCTTTCAAAGCGTACCTGGGTCTTTATGACGACGAGAAACACTTAGCGGAACGCTATCAAGACAAGGTGCATCTCGATGGCCATTAACATTGGATGGACGTGACAGTGAACGGTCGGACAGTTCACAACTAAAATTTGATTTTGCTATTCACGAGTTGCAGCACCTTCTAATGAGTCCCAAGGAGTATCGCCCAAGTAGACAAGTACTTGCTCGAAAACTCAAACATAGTCCTCACACTTTTGAGACTCACGAGTAAGAGAACAGGAATGTCAAAACATGTTGGGCCCTTTTCCAACACGTTAGCTAAAGGGATTCCCATTAACACGCGCCCGGGCGGCCGGTTGGATACCCTTCGCACGGATGGGGGTTCAGTTTGACCCCCTACCCTGAGATCTCAGGAACTAAGAGAGATAGAGACACAAAATTCACAAGGTGTGTTGGCCTGCACGTGAACTCACATAAGTCAAATTTTGAGAATCGTAGGTCATGGCCTTCGGGTCGAATATGGTCAAATAAGGTCATACTTCAAGTTGGTCTACATAGCGCACACAGAGCTTAGACACCTGTTCCAAACAAAAAATCTGATGCACATTTAAGGTCAGTGACCGTGTTTGCAATTTCGTAGGTCATGGTGGCATAATCATAGAAGACCGCCTTGAGTTTTGCATTTGAATAAGCGACAAAGATTACGCTAGGCAGTATGTTCTCTAAAAGCGAAATGTTAACCTGTGTTATTTTAAATCAGCGAACTATTCTGACCTCAAAGTAGCCCACAGAAGATGTTTCATGCGGTTCCTGTCACCAGTGAATTCAAAATGAGCTCAGAAACTACCCCATACAGGAAACTTTGAGTAATAAAACAGGTTGGTTTTGACCTTGATCTGACCTTCATGCGTGACACTAGGTCGATAGAATGTGGTCATTTGCTTGCTGTATTGCCTAAGAAAGCCTCTCGGAGATGTATGGATTTGGTCAACACTCTGTTGCTCCATCAGATTGAACGATTCCCAGAAACTGACTTTGCTGAATCCATAGTCTGACTTTGAACTGCCGCAGGTCAGGGACCTTACAAGGTGCATCCCATTTTTTGAAAGCACACAATCGGCTATTCAATTGTCAACAGCTATGCAAAATTTGACGCGGCTTAGCCGCGCCGTTCGCAAACTATTCCGAAAAACCCTCGGGGGTCAACCTGAACCGAGTGCGTGTTGAGCCATCTAACGCCCACAATCAGGACAAAATTGTGTCACCAGGGGGCAGAAGCGTTGCACAGAATGATTTATTGCGGTGTTTTGTCGCAAAACATCGTAACGGTTGACAAACGATTGTCTTTTGCCAGCCGACAAGTGACAATTAATTTATGGAATGCTTCAGCCTCGTGGGATAAGCTAGCCCGCAGGTAAAATTATTTAGGGGTGGCACTGAGACAAGCCGAAAATTGTTAAACCACTCATTCGCCAACGTCACAGGGGAGTAGTTTCCTTACTCAGTTGGGGAGGCGGCGGGCGGGGTGGGGGGGGGGGGGGGGTCTTCAGCCACTCTCCCAACTTTGGATCTAGGCCCCCAACTTTGAGGAACGCGAGTCAAATTCGGGGAGTATCCCGTTTGTTGGCGTACTTTTGGGTCATGGTGAGTCATTTTTTTCACTGTTCAGCCCGCTCCGGACTCATTCTGCCAAACTACGCCCCTGCAATGTTCTGACGGCAAAGGAAACCAGGCCACAATACGGCGACAGACACAGCATCTAAGCATTTTGATGCCACTGGTGGGATGGTTTTAGGAATTCGTCCCAACATATTCCCGTTTTAAGTGCGGGAAGGGTTTATCGCATGCTATCACCGCACGCATTCGGGCACCGAGAAGGACGTTCGATCCCCCCTCCCCACACACATGCTCGAAGTCAGGCAGGCATCGCGATGCAGAGGCTTCTTGCGTTGCCCCATTTATGAGTGAGCTTTGTAAAAATGTGATACTTCCGTGGTTTTATCGCCCATAAATTCAATCATCAATGTTAAAGAATGTCCTCGGCGGTACCACTCACCACAGGACTGCGGCGTTTGATGTCCTGATAGACTGGTGCAAATGGGCAGGAGCCACCAACGACACGCTGCTGGATGAGCCCTGATGAATACGTCCTTGGTTTCCCAGGTACTCGTTCCCGGTAGACCAACACTTGATTGCGTGCGGCGCGTGTTGGAGAAGGAGTCCGAGGACAAGGAATTTGGAACAAGGGACATCATCACCGAGCTCATGTTGGCTTTCAACATGGAGCCAAAATTATCACAGTAATACGCATGTACACGACTCGTGTGCCATGAAAGGCATCTCACTCTGCGCTCGAGGCTCGTGAGTGCCTCGTGACAGCAGCCTTCCGCCGTGACAGACTATATTACGTTCCGTTTTTCTTTTTTTTTACCAAGAGCACGTTCTCTTCTGGCATCAGATGCCATAAAGGTACGGGTCACACATCCGGGCTTCCGCCAGCAGTGCCCGCAATGCCGGCCTAGAAGGCGCCATGGGCGCATTAAGAGCAGGCCACGTGCAAACCCCGCGCCGTTCCCGGAAGATCATCGGATACGTCTGAACGTCATCTTTATTGAGCGTCATGTAGTAAGCGTCTTGGATAGAACCTTCATGAAATCCCAGGGTTATGGCACAAGCAGCTCCTAACAGACATGCCAGAGCCTTTGCCCCACAAAAATAACGCACAGGAATTTACACTGCAAAATCATGAAAATTACTGGTCATTCAGTACTCTGTACTGTTCACACAAAACACGGCAACCCACGCAGGGTCAACTGGGCAATGGTGCGCTTGCTTGACACATCAGATGAGTATTGTCAAGTCAAAATGCGCTTTCAGTTTACGAGCATTAGCTATCACAGAGCACTGCGCAAAAAACAGTTCATTCGAGACAACACCGTCCGCAGTGTGCAAAATACCTTGTAACGCAAATTGGATCCATACGGCACGGCACGCTTCAGATGGTCATGCGGAGGTAAAAAACGATAGGGACCACAGCGATGGGTATCGGTACATTTCACACAACTCCCGACGGGAGCCAACGCAGCATCAGTTTAGGGACAGTTGGCTCCGAAATTCCACCATGGCACACGCAAAACAGACTAATTATTTGACACCTGCAGAGAACTGGTAATGCACAGCTAGATACATCCTCGACCTGGGGACGGATAATTGACGACACGGATGAATCGCGCGAAAACTAGCCGCCAAGTTGATGCGCGTGAAAAATCACAAAAAGCTATGGGAGCGAGCAGGAGCGTCTTTTTAACCTTCATGAACCTGTGTTGTGCCACATAACGCCACGGGGCTGCCGCTAAGTTGTTTTACGGTCGGGGCCTGCCATCCCGTGTCCACTTATCTTTGTCACGCAGCGACAGCGAATAGGGAACAAAGGAAATATAAGCGGAATGCATAAAATAAATAGGAAACACGAACAGAATGTAAAGATAACAGCTCCAAAGCGCGAGGCGACAAATCAAATCATTTCGAACTACATGCCTACCCGAGTCGAGGCCAGGACCAAGTCATTGCGCAGGGACGCCAACGCGAATAACCTAACGACGCACTTGAGACATCCTTGCACTGCGCGTAACTATACGTTTGTACCACATCGGGCACTCACCGACTCCCACGGCCCTTCCAACTCCGCCCAACCCCACCGCCGACCTCCCTTACCCTACCACTACAGAGCCTCCCCTTCGCATGCAGCTGGAGAGTCGTTCGTCGCCAGCCCGCGCAGCTCTTGCGCCAGCAGTGCCACAAACGTCGCCGTGGGCGGCAGGCGACAGAGCGCCAGCTGCGCGCGCCGTGCCTGGCCGGCCCAGGCGTCGCTGGCAGCTGGCGGCAGCTGCAGCGGAGTCACGCCCAGCCGGGGTCGCGGCGACTCCCCAACGCCGACCTCAGCGTCTGCCGGACGGGGGCGTGACGTCATCGGGCGTTCGGCGCCGCGCGGGCGCGCTGGCCAGTGGCGGCCATAAATCCCGGCAGGAGACATGCTCCTCGTTGATCGTCGGACGCGCTGCGTCATGCGGTTTACTGGAGGGGAGGGGAGCGGAGAAGGTCACGTCCGGACAGCACGATCGCTTCTTTATCCACCTTCTGGGCTATTTGTGGTGCACATCGGGGACACAGACATCGGCGGTGGAGCGGACGGGAGGTGACAGTCCCAAATAAACCAAGCTCGGCGCACCGCTTCGGTTGTTTGTATGCGTCTGGCAAATCAGTAGCTGTTTTCCGCATCACCTTCAATACCTACGTGTGTTTACCAACAGAAAGGATGGGTCACATGATCACAAACCTCAGGGAGATGTTTGTTGACGACGGTGACCTTGCTGTGCCTGGCGCGAAGTGCCATGCGGCGCCGTTACCGGCCTTCCCGCGGATTTATCGCGCTGAAATGCCCATATCCGCAACGTATAATCCGCCCCCATAGCACAACCGGTTAGAGCCTCTGCAGCACAGCGTTTCCGCGGCGGGGCGGGCGGGCGCGAATCGATTCACGCACACGCTGTTCGCTTCGGTCCGAAATGAATTGCGGGCGGGCGTCAGCGGCTGCTCACGATCAGCTGTGATCATAGCGCGGAATGGACTGCAAACGGGCGACAGCGGCCGCTCACGATCAGCTGTGATCATAGGGCGGAATGGACTGCGGGCGAGCGACAGCGGCCGCTCACGATCAGCTGTGATCATAGGGCGGAATAAACTACGGGCGGGCGACAGCGGCCGCTCACGATCAGATGTGATCATAGGGCGGAATAAACTACGGGCGGGCGACAGCGGCTGCTCACGATCAGATGTGATCATAGGGCGGAATGGACTGCGGACGGGCGACAGCGGCCGCTCACGATCAGCTGTGATCACGGCCGTCGAGCACCACACACCGTCAGGCCACGGTCGCAGAGCGTCGCGCCCCGTCAGGCCACGGTCGCCGAACGTCGCGCTCCGTGAGCCAAGGTCGCCCCCGTCAGGTCACGGTCGCCAAGCGTCGCGTCCCGTTAAGCCACCGTCGCTGAAAGTCGCCCCCCGTATGGTCAAGGTAGTCGAGCGTCGCGCACCGCCAGATCAAGGTCGCCGCCCAACACTCAAGATTCCACGGAATTTAACAGAATTTTCGTCAAATCTTCGCCGTAGACGGATTTTTAGTGATGAGAAACTCAACGGGCTGTAAGGAAAAGTGGGCGGGCCAAATTGGAACATAACAAATTACTGAGCCCAAGAATGGCATGCAGAGATCAATAATTTCATGTCACAATTACAGAGCTGTTGACTTGGTAGACACGTGCTTCGGATGGACGCCATTACTAGAAAGAAAGCCAGTGAGATTTATAAAATGTCACTAATCACAACTTCCTGACAAACACAGAACCACAAAATGGCGCGCGCGGCATTTACGGCAATCCGTACAAGTCATTCGCAAATCATATAAAACACATAAAAAACGAACACCCTTCTGCGGAAAACAGCCAGGTCTGAAGACATCCCCGTCACTGATGCCTCGCAACCAAGGACTACCGACGGCGCATCAGGGTCCAGCCGGTATGCGTGACTCTCAGGCGGGCGAATCCGCTGATTGCGGTCGTCCAGCACGCCACGCGCGGCTCGCAGCCCGCCGAGACGCCCCATCTGAAGCATTCTCAGAACCGAGCATCGCCGCCATACTGTGCATACCCCTATGCATCACCTAGCATGCATGTAGGAGGCGCTCCGGAGGATAAGCGATTGGACTGGGCGGCAGCCCGCCTCAGTGGAATCCTCTGGCGCCAATCCAACATTGTCTGAGCTCTGCTCCAAGGCGCAGCAGCGGCGGAGCATTTTCACACCACCGGCTGACTGGAAAGGCCGGTCACTTCTGGGAATAGCAGCGCACAGGAATGCAGGTCCCTGGCTGGGTGAGCGAAGCGAGACGCCGGCAAGTGTCACCCTCACGGCCATGCTCCGACTCAGCCGGCGTCGGGTGGCATAGCAAACAGCCCGCGTGTTTTGTTGCACCTGAGCAGGTTTGTGGTTGCTAAGATAATGCTTCCGTAGTCAGCTCGTTGTGTATTCAGCCTTCGCGTAGTGCGCGGAGACTAACTCCGCTTATGTCACGAGTTTTTGGAAACTAGGAGCACATATGTGTGCTTAGCTACACATCAAACCTGCCCTGATCCCCTGCATTGTTTTCCTAAAAAGCTGCACGAGGTCGACTACAACTGTGTTAACGCAGTCATACATACAGGTAACAGTCTGTGCTAAGGTCATATACAGACGTTTCTGAGAACAGCACGGGGCGAAACGAAAAAAGTCTCTCCGTATACAACCAGTTCATCGATCATCGAGGCTTTACGATGCACCCAGCTGTTCAGGCTATATGGTGTCGCCTGCCTCTCACCCTGGCAGACAGTGCGGGCACCGCAGGGAATCAAACCCCGCACCTCTGGTTCCCCAGACGTGCAGTGGTTAACGCAGACACGTCAATCAGTACACTATCAGTATCCTTACAAAACCATTTCCGAAGACAAAACTATGTTCTTATAAAGCGCAACTGGAGGCATACAATTTGCTCCGACCAGAAATTTGCAACGACAGACATCACATGTTGGTGATGTCTTACACGCGGAGAGGTGTACAGTGAGCCTACGGGAGCCACATCACACCACGCCACAGATCCCCGACATTCGAGGTCACCACAGATCCCCGACATTCGAGGTCAGCCGTGTTAACCAGGCGGATACAGCAACGATTACATAACATTCGGTACATTCCACCGCCTGCAAAGATGGAGAACAGAAATCGTGTCAGGAGTCTTGTCCAGCTGAATTTGCCGTAACTCACAGGCAACAGCGCTGCCATACATAGACGTATCTTTCCTTCCCGCAAGTCCTTTGTTGAAATCAAACGTCACAAAGTTTTGAGATGTTAAGTGCATTTGCAAGGAGCATTATGCTTATAGATAAGACAGTAGTAATACACTTATTCCTCGTGGAAAAGCCAGGAGAGTGGAGAGATAGACGCATTGATATTCAGGCAACATACCTTTATCGAAACGAATATCAGGTTTTCACGGAACTTAACGTAAGCGAATGTTTGGGGATGGGAAACTCAACAGGCTCTTTAAAGCAAGGTTGGCGTTTGAATTCATTTCGATAAAGGCATGTGGCCGAAATATCAACGCACCTACCTCTCCACCCTCCTGGTTTTTCCACGAGGAATCAGGTTACCACTTCAGTTTTATCGCAAGAACGTTTTCAATATAAATAAAAAATACCTGACAAAAAGAGAAAAGAGCCGCATGAATCACGAGGTAATAGCACATGTTTCAACGTAATTAACTAGACAAGAAACCTTCAAAAGCCTGCGCTTACCTATCCTTAAAAACACTCAGATGGTTTATCAAACTCATTCGTCCAGACGCTTCTCTCTCGGAACGTGCATGATATAAGACAAAATGATACACATCCATTAAGACGGACAAAGTTTCAGCTCGAACCCATTTTTTGGCCCATACCTATTCTTAGTCCTGCGGAAATCTCCTTGCCTGAGGATCCGTGCTATGCGGCACTGCCACACGGCACGGCACATATGCCGAAATCCATCGCGTAAGGTCACGCACTACCGGCGCGGTTCCCTGACGTTTTAAACCCTTGCCGCGCTACCGCCAACTCGAGGGTACCGCTATGAAGCTTAAATGTCCCTTCTGAGCTCTACAGAGCTTCACAAATAGATGGCTCTGACCATACATTTAAGACCTTGGCGTACACTCCAGGCGTTTTCGTTGGGGTTCTACGTCCCTTTCAGAATGACAGTGTTTTCGTGAATCCGAGTTCCATTTACGAATTGTAAAGGACCTTTCCTAGGCCTTGGAGACTCCACTACCCCTGGGAATACCTTTTCAGAATCCCTACACCCACTTCCACGCGCTTCGATAACCTCACAAGGCACGTACTCAGTACGGGCCGTTTGAAGCCGTCCACATTGTCGCGTTGTCTCAACCCAGCCCCTGCCCAAAACAGTCACCTACCACACGCTCTTTACATATCGCCATTTCTTCGTGCCCCGGGCCTCCGCTCCGCTTGTCCGGACATCTGAAGCCCACGTACGCCCCAGTGAAGCGGTGACGCACCGCTGGAATGCAGCGCTGGCCTTCCGAAACTATTCTGCATTTGCAGATGCAAGAGGCCGCTGTGTCCGGGCACAGCAACCCTCTACGGGTTCGAAGGACATACGTTTGTTGCGGAGTTTTGTTTCTTGTGTTGTTGTCCGGTGAAAGAATTCGTTTTGGGCAAAGCAAAGCACCCGTGGGCGCCTTGCCCTATAATAAATCACTGAAGCCCGAATGCTAAATGGTCGACGGCGACTGCGCCGAAGACCCCCTCACAGCTCCCGTGCACGAAATCACCACCTGTGCACCCCTCGGTCCGCTACCTCTCAACAAAAAACAGATGCTTAATTTTTTTACGCTTATAAGATGCTTTCGGGTACATGTAACCCAGCAGGTTGATGGCGGAGCGGTGTGTTTTGTGTTCTCGGCCCTACACCTTCCCGCGAAGTATGATTGTGAGCATGGAACACGTAGCACACCATAATGCAGAACCTGCGTTGGAGCAATATTCAACATCCACTTGTAAAATCATGCCGGCTGCGATCATGGCAGCGTGCTGAGCCTTTTGTCCATGTAATATGACACTTAATGCGAGGGTGCGATTTGCAAAGTTCTCAGTAACGCAATGCAAATACATTCCTGAGATTCGATCCAATTCATTTCCAAGTGAATGAGTAGACAAATCCCTTGGCGATACCGTAAATACAGCCATGGATGATAAACGACAAGCACCAAACCAGTACGTCACAACGAAAACGAAAATTTTCACGCACTCGTTCGCATTACCCACGTGGTGCATATACCATTAGCCCTAACTGCGTAGCCCTTACCCTTTTCCCTTCACACAGAAAACTTAGGCTTAGCACCTGTGGCTCACGAGCTCTTCTCAGCATGTTCCCAACCCTCCCTTATCTCTACAATTATCGATGGGTGAAACAACGATTCCAAGTTGGCCGGGAGGACAATGCAGAACCTAGAGGACTGCCTCACCCTAATGATGCTTTGGGCTGGGACTTGCGAAACATATATATGTTGCAACGAAAACAGGGAGGGATGAAAACCCGTAGTCGCCAAATCGCGAACTCAATGCCCCGCCTTCTCCCTTCTTCAAAATGGCTAACAGGCCGCCCATAAATTTTGTTAAAGCATCTCCGGCCATTTTTCAAGCTTTCTCTCCGCTCTTTACGCAACGGTCACGCTGGGCGAAATTCCTTTGATTATGCAGTGAAAAACGTAGCGTCCATTTGGCGTCTGTTGGGCGAAAGGGGCAAAAAAGACGGGCACATTCTTAGAATGCTTACGGGCGTGCTGCTTATCATGCTAGGCATCTACCAGCATACGGTTCTAATTTTTAACCTATTACAAAAACCCGAGCACCATGACGTCTAAGCGTAACGTAACGCTTCCCCCTCCCCCCTCCCTCCCCTCCTAACCTCCATCCGCCTTGTCACGCTTCGGTCATGCTCCATTACACCCCCTCTCTCCTCCATGTGAAACGTATTGTATGGTAGGCCGCTAAACACATACCTTTATCCCTCACATCTTCTATATTTACTACATGTAGCCGATCCGTTTCACCACAATCCCCGGCATCCCAGCGGGTGCATTAACAGCTACCGACACACGTGAATTCATCGTGCAGCCAAAGCAAATGCCATCAGCATCAGTGTGAAAACCCAGTAAGTCACAAATGTGCCTGGACATGCCCAACGCCGGTTTTCGAGACGGGAAGCGATCGCTTTAAGCGCCTGTCTGGGAGAGGGCGGTAAGCTGCAGGTCACAGGAATGCCGCTCGCGCGGATCCGTGGCAGACGCTACCACATTTCTCCAGCTGATCTTCTTCACTGGCTTTGAAACGTTCTGGCCACGCTGGGGATCAGTGGCAAGCATGCGGACAGGAAAACAACGACCTAGAGACTTCGAAACAGAGTGTTGGATCACGCAATAAATAGTAATTTATCTAAGCAATGCAGTAAGAGCGTGCGTTTGGGAAGGACGCGGGCGGGAAGAAGAGTTCACTAGATCATATCTTAGATGGAGCGTCTACTTAGAAAGCTTCGGCCCTCCATCGATGTTTGTCCCTGTTATCGAATAACGTGTAAATACTCCAAGAACTTTAAAGATGGTTAAATACCGCCAAATCCAGAAGAAGCAAGAGAACTAACTTTGGTGTATCCACCCACAAGAAAAAAGACACAAAAACAAGGGTAACTAGCCACATGGACCAACGGCATTTCTAATCCCAGCTTGGCATATCTAAAACCCTCAGTCACTGCCAACGCTGACTAACTTCACAGCCGGCGCCGGCGACGTGACGCAGCTGCCCTGGAATGGAGGTCCGCGCCCGCGGGACAGCGTCTTCTCCCGGCGTCTCATTCTTAGGGGGCCAGACAGTGGGCGGATCCCCCACTCAGTTCGACCTTCGACCCCTATCCGGCCACGTCGTTACCCCTCTGTCGGAGGATGGATGGGGCCGGCTTCGGCCGGGCGCCCGCTACGTGCAGGATGGGGCCGGCTTCCGCAGAAGAACGCGAGAAGAACGGAAGGAAAGGAAAGTAATCCAACATCGCGAAAATGCCTGACATGCCTGACTGACAAAAACATGCATGCCTGACCTCAGATGACCGCGTGGCCACTTAGCAAACTTCGTTCTTTAGCAGATAGGCAGACTGCTGGAGTTTTCCGGCACATCGATTGCCGATAACATTTTGCCCCGATAACAGGTCTTTAGCAGACCGACCCCTGTTAATATGCTCGATGAGTACCGACGGAGGGTACCACACGTGTCGAGTCTGTAAGTAAACGCAATGAGCACGCGTGTTAACCACTCCGTGCCAAATGCCCTGCGTCCCGACTCTAGTGCGTCCAAATGAAAACAAATTGTCTGCAGCAAAGGACACCATTCACGGACGATTTTGGGCTCAAAGTGTTTCACTCCTTTTGTAATTCGGTCTCCCATTCACACATCGATGCAATTTCCCGCTGATTTCGTTCTCCCTCAAGGCTTTGTAAAAAAAATTCGGTATCCACACCGACATATTTTACAGGCGATTTTGACATCTTGCCAGATCCGACCTGGCCACTGCTTAATGTAACACCTTGCCAACATCACAGTCATTGAATGCAGGATCGACCTTCATTTCACAGCAGTCATCAGGCTAGGCCAGGACCTCCCGGCCCATCCCGCTGGGTGCATAATGCTAAACAAATATTTGCAGCTTGACTGCTTGACCTGTTTGACTCGCCCTTTGAGATCGAGATAGGTATAGCACGCGGGCATAAACGGCAATTTGAGAACTAGCGCGATCGATCAGCGTCTTGAACGAAGGCCTTTCGCCGAGTGCATCGTAAAGCCCCACTGACGATGGGCTGTCCCCCCCTACCCCCCTGATGACTGCATCGGTTGCGTAACAGTTGGTCATTACAGATAATTCAACACATTGATGTTTTGTGTATTAAAAGCTTCGAGGTAATTGCAGATCGACGATTTCTGATTGGTTGTTTGTTTGGACATTGGCCCTCACACACTTGGCACATGACTGCTATCACCTGGGAATCAAGAAATCCCCCCCTCCCCCTCCCCCCAGCGCTATTCTATGAAAATGTGGTGATCCTGGCGTTCCGTTGGTGCGGCGAGAGCAGCAGGAGGTCGATGAGGCGGAAGGTTTACTTTCCTCTCCCCTCCAGGGCGTGCCATTCTGACGCGGTTTCGGCATGTGCAAAACAGATCGCACTAGCAGATCAGCCTCTTTAGTGTCACACACCAGTTCTTCCCGACCCCGAAATTCGTTAGGAAGCTCCACTTCTTCATCATACAATCCGCAATCTCAACGTGGAAGGCAACTCACACGCGCAGTGCCTGCTGAAATTATGTCACATCATTTCAACATCGCACGTACACGGCGCATATCATGGCAAACGGCACTTACCTGCGGTGGGACTTTTTGGAGAAACCAGCAATACCTGAAAAAACAAAGGTCTAAATATTCTAAAAGCCAACATAATACAGCAACAAACGCGGATCTTTAGTGTGATCGCTATGTACGTGGCCAGGTGCGATGCGTCGAGAAGCTTCAGCAGCACACCTCGAGCAGGCAATCACCCACAATTCCAAGCTAACTAACAGTACAACTTACAACATTCAACTTTCGACGTTTATTTTATATGACAAATGGGATGTGAATGTTAACACGATTACCACAGAGTTTACGCGATAAGCATAAAAGAACATGCAGCAGCTAGTTCGCGCCCTGTTATAGGAAGAATGGGAGCTGCCCCAAATGTCTGTCAGGATCTTTAGGGTGCATTACAATTTTTATCGGACCGCCGACCAGCATGCACCAGCCCATGCGTGCCGACGACTTCTGTTTTGGGAACCATGTTTTCAAATGCAAGCTATTTTCAATGTGTGTGCCGTCATTTACAAAGATGCCCATTAGCCTAGTACGTGCTGCAAACATTCTACTGGAATTTTAAGATGTGCATAACAAAACACTCTGTCCACGACAAAGGAATCTGAGGAACTACACCACGAAGTAGCTGCTGCGATCTGGAACATGGACGCCAAAAAGCGAACGCGCCCAACATCAAAAGCCGACATTCACCTGACCGCCCTTAAAAAAGACCAGCACCAGGCATCGGAATCGATCGGAGCTGCACACGGCAGGGCACCCACCCGTTTGCACTTGACGCCATCCCGCTGCCGCTCGTCGTCGTCGTGAGCGCGGCGCTGTGCCAGCTCGGCCACCGCCCGTCGCAGCCGCTCCTCGGCGCGCGCGGCGTGCGCCGCCCGCCGGCACAGGCGGCCACACTCGGCGCACAGCCGCATAGTCTCATCGGTGGCATCGACGGCACCGACGACGCCGACCAGCAGACGGACGCGCCGCGGCAGCGGACCGCCAGGGGCGCTGCGATCGCGGCAGGCGGCGCAGCGCCCGCCGGGCGCGCCGGCGGCGGCGGCGTCGGCGCCCTGCCGACTAGCCCAGACGCGCACCTCCAGCTCGGCGGTGAGCCGCTGCGCCGCGTCGGCCAGCTCGTCGGCGCGGCTCAGACGCTCCCAGCAGGAGGAGCAGACGGCGGCGCGCGCGCTGGCCGGCACCGGCAGCTGACGGCGCAGCGCCGTGTCGGCCAGCAGGTGGCCGGCTCGCGTGCGGCCGTCCAGCGCCGAGCAGCGCCGCTCGCCCGTCGTCGGTTGGCGGCACACCACGCACTGGCGCCGCTTCCTGGCCGGCAAAGCAGCGATGGTCAGGGATCGAGTCGAGGAGAGGTCATGTCTGAGATGGGCAGCAAGGCAAGTGGTGCAGTCTAGAAGCCCCAGAGAGGTGGATAGGGTCATCAGCTTTTCTTCATTTGGTTTTTGTTTGACCAACTTACTCCCCATGAGCATGTGAATAGTGACCAGTGCCAAGTCTGGCACCTGACAGGCCACTGACAGCACTGCCTATGCACTACAAAACAACACCTTAAGTTCTGGACAGCTTCCTTCATAGCAAATATTTGCCATGTTATTGTGTAACCATCTATTTTTCCATGTAGAAACCTAAAATGGAGATGCTCTATGTGATGCTTCATCTCATTTAAAAATTCTAATAAATGCTCTATCTATGACAAAATTCCAGTGCAACCATACACAATACAGATACACTATCCTGCACTTTTGCTGCTTGCCAATCATTTCATTGCAGCTTCCCAAATATGATGTTATCATGCATTCTTTCATAGCTGAATGACTTTGCATAAACACTTTCAGGCTAACCTGAGAATCCACTTGCAAAACAAGTATCGTGCTTGTACAAAGAAGCCACACAATTTATTTATTGATACTCCTTGCAAAGTTCAAAATCCTTTGGTACATCTGCAGTTCAAGCTTAACTAAAGCTAAAACACATCTCACATCAACACCTTCAATGATTGACATGCTCATGCCAGCACCTTTCACAACTCAATTTGCACTACTGGAAGCATTGAAATATATCTGACCACTTCATTTTCTGATGAATTGCAACAGTGCGGAAATACTCAATAGCTTCATCATCAGACCAAAGTTAACAGACATCAATATCCTTTTCATGTTTCCACTTAATGTGATCATAATAAATAAAAAATTGTCAGTGGTAGAAACTTATACTCCTACAGTGTCAGAGTTCCACTACTACAGAGTGCCACAGCCGACCATAAATGCACACATAATTTAGGAACGTGAACACCTTTTAAACACAACCAACAACTTAGGGCCCAACACTGAACAGACAGCTTATACAGCACTGTATAGATCTTAGAAATAATCTATGAACTCACCATTTTCCTTCACATGCTGTGATTCATAAATTTGTTTCAACCATATTTAGGCTCCTGGTTACCCAGAATGTTCCCCACAGACCCACTCAGAACATTTCTGATGACAAGTTACCCCCTGTAAACTCACTGTTTACTTTAGAAAGTTATGGGTTTGTTCTTGTTTATGTTTAAACAGCGGTACTTAGTGAAACATGGAGCTAATGATTGAAATGGCAGCTCATACGAGCAGAATAAGCCACATGACCCTTCCAACCACAGCAAAGTACCTTTCACATTCATAAAGATCAAGGCCTACCTGTCCATTTGCAGAACATGTGAGTAGCGAACTTTTTAGCTGAGCTACACCGGGAAGTCCACAACCGCGAAGAAGCACCAAGGCCCGAAGAAGCCCTGGCGGTCCCCGGGTCCTTGCGTTAATTACGAACAGTGTTTTTCACCAAACCTTGGCTCACGCCCTTGTTTTGATGAGCTTATTTGTAACTGCTGCGCCACGACCGCATTGGAGAAATTGTAACTTTTACCTTTTGTGAACAAATCTGGTTACCTGAAAATCTTCACGGAAGGAAGATAGGTTTTCAGTTTACAATATCTTTGAAGGGCTTGCCATACGTTTTACAAAGCAGATATTGTTGTGGAGGCCCTGAACCCACCATCCAAGGCGGTCAAGTTGATGGAACGATCTGAGCTCCCGAACTTCTTCCAGGCAAGACCCAGGTTTGGAGACCTTGACCTGACCAGAGACCTCGTCGGGGACCTGGCAGTGAGACGTGCCTTACGGTCCTACGGGGAGGAAAAAAATTAAATGACGGCCAATGTTGTTATTGCAAACGTTGGAATTCACGGATGGAATAATTTTTCGGAATGTCATTCTCGCCTAGCTGGTCAAATACACGACGTTTCGGCCAGTAATCCTCCGGCCGTGGTAACTTGTTATGGGATTCTGAGAAGGACCGGATTATACTTGTCTTACCAGCCGTGTGTGTGGGTCGCAACCGGAATTCCTTTATTGGAATTGTTGCGATGAAAGCTCAGGATTCCTTGATCGCGAGTCTAGTGCCCTACCATCTGAGCTAACCGGAAAGACAAAATCAGCTGGTAGAGAACTGACTCGCATCCAAGGCAATCCTGGTGCCGCTTCCAGCAATTCCAGGCGGAAAATTTGCGTTGTAACGTATAAAAGGCTGATAGTCAAACATAGTCCAGTCCTCCTCGGTACTCAATAACACCTCGCGACAAGAGCGTCGTGCAACTAGCAGCGAAAACGAAGAAGATAGTCCGAACAATTATTCCATCGTCATGCCAATCTACCTCGTCTTAATCCTTCCCTGAACTTGTAGAGCAAGTGTAAGTCCTTAACTGGGAATTTTTCTTCAGCCACAGCCTATATATATATATATATATATATATATATATATATATATATATATATATTGGTATGTTTAGGCACATATTGTCTTGTATGCAAGTGTTGTAAAAAACCTTAGCGTAGGCGCATTTAATAAGCCTTTATGAGTGCAATAAGCACTTGCTCCGGTTTTCTGATAACGGTTATCTGTTCATTATTGAGACTAAAAAGCGACTCACCGATGTTTGGCATCTTTTGGTAGCGGTGACATTTCGAAATTACGCCTTCCATTTTGAAATGTGCACACACACATCGTACAAGCGACGAATATATTGTTACATGCTACAGTCAGGTATAACCGGCAAAGTAATAACAATAAAGTACCAACAAGTTTCAGTTTGCTCGTCAAACTGTAAAGTCTAACTTCATGGTGGACATTTAAAGGAGCATGTGGATTTCAAATCGTCCAAACAAATGCAACCCTATCCTCGAAAGTCCCCTTTAAACCCTGCTTTGGCTTTAAACATTGTTGGCCTTTTGTGCACTGTTACCACGAATCGTTCTTGGTCAGCAGTGATATATGTGTCTAAAAATGAAATGCGGTTATTGACGCTTAGTTCGCAGGTGAAGGAGAACGGAAGTTTATTCCATTGCATTTTTTAGTTGATCAGATGGTTTTTGTCACTGACGTCGATTAGCTGGCTTTCGTCGCTGATGTCTACGGAAATGTCATCGACATATCGTGCGTAAAGTGCGGGACGGAGGGATGCATTTTAAAAGAGTTTTGTCTTCCACTTGGCTATGTAAGCATTGGCAAAAAGCGGTCTCAGGAGGAGCCCCGTGACCATTCTAT